GTGCAATAATATATATATATATGTATATATATATATATATATATATATCATATATACTACATGACCCGACAGACGTTGTCCTGTACTCACGTCTACAATTCAAAATCTCCAACAATTTTTAATATCCCCAGCTATACTATATAATATCCTATTTAATGTCCTGCTTTTGTGATTCATTTATGGTCTTAACATTAGCAGTATAAAAAATTCAGACAAAAAACAATATCTAACTTGATTTTTCCACACAACATAATAGCTTCAATAATTTAGTCTATAATTTTCATAATTTTGTACCATATATTTGTTGGTTTTTGGCAATTATAATTTCTAAAGTATATTTTTCTTATTAATAATTTAATAAACATTATTGTTTAGGTTCAAATCTTGAATTAATTTGTAAAATCTAGTTCATATGAGCACTCTTCAATCTAAGATCAACTTGCTAATTATTCGATATTCAATGCCAAACAAATGAATTTTTGACACATGAAACAAAATTCTAAACTAGTGTATGGCATCGTGCCTTAAAGCAAATTGCTGGAACATTCCGTACCGTAATGAAATGTTCGAGGAATACAATAAAAATATTGTAATAAGATTGTCTAATATTCATAAGAATTATATAAACTGAATTGTAAAGTTGAAATTATTTGTTTAAAGTATATTAGAACTATAGTCAGAATTAAAAATAAAATCTGAATTATTTTCGATATATAAAAAATTTTTTTTGAAAAATAAAAGTTGAAACAAATTTTTTTTTCCAAAATCAATTATTTTGCTAAGACATGCAGAAAGTTCTTTAAATCAGTTAAATCAGACGCTTAGTTCTCTCAAAAACTGCCATTTTTTTAACATTTAGCTCCGTATCTTCAAAATGGCTGGGCCTGCCTTTGCCAAAAACTAATCAGCACATCTCACTATCAATAGGAATCGAATGTTTTTTGAATCATTCAAATCGGTTGATCTGTGCGCCCGAAAACGTGACTGAAAAGTTGTATCCATATATACATACACACACACACATTTATTTTTTCTGAGGTATACCTACCCTACGGGAAGTTAATATTTTTTTGATAAGTACAAATATTTTTCTGTGTTGTTAAATAATTTAGTAAAATAAACCAAAATGTATATGCAATTTTCGACTTACTGCGTTATTTATTAAACTGCATTATATAATTTCATCTGCCGAAATATACCCTTGACTGTATCTTATATTATTTTAATTTCTGGTACATCTCAGATGCTTTTCGTCAATAATTAAGTAGATATTACATTTTTCTTCTATATTATATTTGAATATTATCTAGGCTCATAATTTCAGCTGATTTCAAATTTCAAATGAATTGACTTTTCTAACAGATGACAGTTCAAATGTTTTCAATGTCAAACAATGATAAGTGTTTTTTTTTGTAATTTTTGCCATTTATTTCTACGATATTACTTTACTTATCGTTCCTGTTTTAGAATATTAGGTTCTAGTTCCCGTATCAGTATAAATACTTTAAAATTTTAAATCTATTTTCATATAATATATGCTGTCTCTTAATATTTTCGTACTCTTCAAAAAAGAACATTTCTTTAACAGAAAAATCACTTCTTCACAATTTGCTAAAAATTCAAATCAAGTTTTATTTTCAACCACTTACACACAAATTTAGTTTGACTTTAGTAATATGTTAACGTAATTAATAACGTAAATTTTGTTATTTTTCTGCTCCATCTATATATCTTAAAACATGATGCCATTAGTTAAGAATTAATCCTCATAAAAAGATAAAATGTTTGGTATAAATTATACGTTATTTTTTATCATTGTGTGATATCTTGTTACAAATGTAAAAAATGTATTATAATTGCTATAACCCAAACTATAATTATACTCTAAACCGCCAACATCGATAAAAAATGGTTATTCGATCATTGCCAACAAAATTTAAACACCGACACACAGAGACACATAAACCATTAATTCGGGTCAAATTGTCGTCAATTGGAAATTCTAACGTTTTTATTCGATTCTTTGAAACAAAATACCATTATTTGTTCTATTATGAGTGTGTACGAGTATGTAGGTGTTTGTGCCATAAGAAACTTTTTTTTTGCGAAATTACGAAACGGTCTTGTATGGTAGATCTTCTTAAATAGATTAACTAAAAATTGATGACTAAACGCTCGCATTGCCAATTTTAATCTACTAAAGGAACTAGATGGTATTATAACTTTTTGCAAGTTGTAAATATAATGAAATATTAAATACCAGTTAAATATAAGATATTGATTTTAATATCAAACCTATTAAAATATAATTTTAATTCAATAAATAACAAAATTATTCATTGAAGGGAAATGTAAATTGTAATTTTCATTTAATCAAAACAAAACAATCTAAAAATCTATAGAGCGTAGCTTAAAGATCCATATGAGTAAAACGGTCCACCGAGATATCTCAAAACCCAGTCAAGTTAGGATTTTTTTTATAGATTGCAGAATGAAAATAAAATAAAAAAAAAAGTTACGATTTTTTTTAACAACGATATTTGAAAGTAGATGGTAAAAGATTTATAACCAGCCGCCACCTTGGTTCTTATTCTTACGACGTTGCTATCAGGAAATAAATGGGAATGTTTAAAAATCCATAACTGAAGTATTTTCTTGCATTGTTATTTGTCGTGATTGTGAGGACTGTTGCTTAGTTTACGAAACCTTAATATAATTTTTGAGTATACAATATTTGATTGTTTTATAAGATGCATTGTTAATTTTAAGTTAGATTCAACGTTTTTTTCATCTATGTTCTGTAAAAAGACCAACTGAACTTTCACCATGGTAAAGATGTGAAAAATAAAATAGCAAATAAAAAAAGTTACTTAAGTTAAAAAAATTATTTTATAAGAGACAAATTAAGTAAATAATTATTCCAACTCTGCTGATAAATATTTCTCACAAAATACCAGATCAAGGTTTACCAATTTACTATGTTATGGTTGTAAAAAATGGACCCATGAATTTTATATTTTGCATTGGTTGAATGTTCAACAGAAGATGCGATATAGAATGGAAAAACTAGTTTTAATAACAATAATATTAACACTAGTTTTTCCATATATTATGACACTAGTTTTTCCGAAATTAAAAAAAGATGTTAAATGAATGCATGAAACATAGTCAAAAATATTGGATAGCACAAGAAAAAACAGAATTCAAACATAAAACTAAGGGTGTATGACAACGTGCCTCTAGGCAAATTGCTGGAACTTCCCGTACCAGAATTAAATATTCGAGAGAAAAAATCAATAATCAATGAATATTGATAAACAATTTATAACAATTGTTTTGAATATTTTTAAAGAGATAATTATAATTACTATATATTTATTCATTCATAAAATACACAATGACGATCTTATCGCTCAAAACACTTAAAAATTTTTACATTAAGAAGAAATGACGAGTAGAATAATGCATATGAAATATTTACATTTTTAAAATGAATTGTAAATTTAATATTTATTTTTGAAAATTTTGAAAAGAAAAAAATTCTGGTTTTTGAAAAACATTTTTTTTCTGAAAATTTCGAAAATTGTTTGAACCGTATAAGTGAACTTTAAAAAATTAAAATCTTGGTACGGAACTCAATTTTTTTTTAACAAAATTAGTAATCATGGTTAAAATCTCTATAAAATAGCTGAAAATTTGATGTGCATATGTCTAATGATCATTTTAGATCGCCAATTATTATTTTTTTTAATATTTTTCTCTATGTCTCTGACCTGCCTTCACAAAAATTTGATCAATTCTTTATTTCGTCAATACAATACAATGTTTTTTGAATCATTCAAATCGGGCGCTCCGTTACCTCAAAAACTGAATTACCAATTTTGGCACTTTTTGCAACATATCTGCGCAACGGCTAGACCTGCCTTTGCCAAAAACTAATCAGAACGTCTTCTTATCAATACGAATCGAATGTTTTTTGAATTATTCAAATCGCTTCATCCGTGTTCCCGAAATCATCGACAAAAATTTGTATCCGAACATACACACACACAAACACATACATCCATTTTTTCTAAAGTATGCCAAAATGTTCATAATAATAATCTGATCAAATTTTCATGAAGGCAGGTCTAGCGGTTTCGGAGATCTAGTAAAAAAAGTAAAAACAAAATAATATGTGGCGGTCAAAAATGATCATTAGACATATGCACATCAAATTATCAGATATTTTATAGAGATTTTAATAATAAGTATAAATTTTGTTTACATTCTTATGGGTTCCGTACCAATGTTCATCCGTTAGACGGCGACGCGGCGCTTACGCGCTTCGATATTTTCTCTTTATGCAGTTAAAGCAGTACAATTGCTTTAAAAAAAGTTCAGAATTTCCAAAATTTTTCAAAATAAATTTTTTTTCAAAAAGTCTTTTTTTCAAAAAAAGTAAATTTTTGTCAAAAATTTATAGTTTCTCAAAAATCTAATTTTTTCGGAGTAAATTTTTTTCAAAAATCTTTTTTTTTAAAAAAAAAAAAAAAATTAGTACGGAAAGTATAAGCAACTTGCCATGCGCCCCACTAGTTTTCGATTTTCTTGCGATTACTATAACTTACCCTACGGGAAAATATAAATAACTTTTTGAAAAGAAAAAATCTTTTCAGTTTAAAAAATTAAAATTTTAAGTACAATTAGATATCCAGAAAAAAATAAATTAAATTAAATTATATATACATATATTTATGTATGCGTATATGTATATTATACTTAATATTCGCACGATAAAAGCATGCACTTACATGAAGAGAGTCGACGGCTAAGGGAGGGGAATCGTCATCATCAAAGCGCGCCAACAAGTAGCAGCTTAAATCTCATCCACAATTCATTCAGCTCATGTCGGCCAAACCCGAAACATCTGACAACAAATCAAATCGAATATATAATATTTATTAATTCAAGTTAATAAATAGTTATACTGTTAAATATATAGGTATATATTGATAGCAAGTGTGTCGTGAATTAGTTGTGAGTTTTAAAACTGTCGAACTTTGTGAACATTTTTTTGGTGTTGATAGTGGCGGCAAATTGGATCGCGCAAAGTGAGTACCAATTTGGAGAAAAATATTGAAATCAAAGTATTAATAACATGAAATATATTATCTATTATCGTATGAGATTCGCTTTCTTATAATTTTATTTCTCAATTTGCCTTGTTTGAGAGTTTTTTCCAAAATAACTCGATTTGGCGGTATCTTCTGATGGTATCCTTAACCGCGCTTTCATCTTTTTTGTTGTTACTATTTTATATGATATATTATAAGAGAGCTAGCTTATGCGAAAATAAATCTATAAATATTAACCACTATTATTAACCATTATTAGTTAATGATACCGGTTATTAAAAATGGTTATTAATACCCATTTTGAAATTTATAAAATATAAGAATTAACAAAGTGCCCATGTTGTTAATAATCTAAGCCAAAAAGAATATTTTGAAGTTGATAAATCTTAATTATAAAATCTCTAATATTTATCTTTGTTCTCTCGTTGCGATTTACTATTAAAATACGAGACGTTTTCATTGATAATATGTACATTTAAAAAAATACCAAATTGATATAGTATATATTATCTGATGAAGTATAAGGGAGTGTGAATAGATCTATGTGTAAAATTATATTGAAAATTAATCAGTACGCTCAATGGTTCAATTTAACTTGAAAAAAAAAACTAAATGAATTACATGACAACACGTAACATGTATCAAATAACTGTCAAACTCATTAAAATTTCCATGTAATTCCTAATTTTGAAATGTCTTTTTTTTAAATATTTTTCTAAAATTTGTCATTTGTCCATTTCTGCCCCATGGGTAAGAAGAGACAGCCGAAACAATAGCTATATTATGGTTTGTTTAACGTGAAATACAAATTTTATGAGAACATTTTAAACAAAACGAAAAATCTGGATCTAATATTTCGCCAGAAATCTTCGGAGTTCGAATATCTATGAACATAATTTATGTTTTGTAAAATTGCTTTCTTTAACTTTATTTATTTTTTTATTTGCTATTTTTAATTTTTGCACCTTTGCCAAGGTAATGGTTCCGTTGGTCCTTTTTACCCCAGCTAGGTACATAAGCTTTTATAGAGATTATATAAAAAACTGTTGAATCTAACTTAAAATTAACCGATATCTCTAAAACCAGTGAAGTTAAGAATTTTTCAGTAACAATATTTGAACGCAGAGGAGAAAATAAATTCAAACTAGTGGGGCGCATGGCATCGTGCCTTAAGACAAATTGTTGGAACTTCCCGTACCAAAAATTATTATTTTTTTAAAAACGATTGACATTTTTGAAAAACATTTACTTCGAATAAATTAGATTTTTGAGAAACTATAAACTTGACAAAAAATTACTTTTTTTTGAAAAAAAAAATTTTTATTGGGAAAAAAATGTTTTCTTTATTTTGACATACTTTGGAAATTCTGAACTATTTTTCAAAGCAATCGTACTGCTTTAACTGCATACAGACGAAATGTCAAATCTCGTAAGCGCCGCGTTGCCGCCTAACGGATGATCCTTGGTACGGAACCCGTAGGAATGTAAACAAAATTTATACTTATTGTTAAAATCCCTATAAAATATCTGATAATTTGATGTGCATATGTCTAATGATCATTTTTAACTGCCAAATGGCATTTTTTTACTTTTTTCATTAGATCTCCAAAAGCGCTAGACCTGCCTTCATGAAAATTTAATCAATTTTTCACCTTGTCAATACAAGTAAAACGTTTTTTGAATTATTGAAATCGGACGCTCCGTTCTGTTAAAAACTGAGTTACCATTTTCGGCACTTTTTGCCCCGTATCTTCGGAACGGCTAGGCCTACCTTTGCCAAAAACTAATCAGCACGCCTCCTTATCAATACGAATCAAATGTTTTGTGAATCATTCAAATCGGTTGATCGGTGTTCCAGAAATCGTCAACGAAAATTTGTATCCGCACACACACACACGCACACACGTACATCCATTTTTTCTAAGGTATGCCAAAATACTCAGAAACCTTTGAAACGTAAAGATATATAAAAATTTTCATTTTCGTTTTTTTTGCGATTACTATAACTTGCCCTATGGGAAGTTAAAAAGCTTTACAAGAGATAAATGAAATAAATTGTTATTCCATCTCTGCTGATGATATACCAGATCTAGGTTATTTATACTGTTATCACTGTAAAAAATGCACGTATGAAATTATATTTGGCATTGGTTGAATAATGTAGCAATTATTTTGTAAAATCCTTTTAAAATTAAAATAAAATATTGGAGTTGTTGCCCCCTGGGCGTTCCAATTCATCTCGCCTATGAAGAACACATTTCTACAATGATTAATGAATTAGCTGTGAAAGATGAATTTAGTCAGATAGTTGTTTGTTTGATATGTGTAAGTTGTTGTGTTATAATTGATTTGATTTTTACAATATAATTTCAAATTCAAAGTCAAATAGGATCTTTGTGCCCCGCTTTACCCTACATCTTATAAAAAAACAACGCATACTAAAAAATTATATTAGAGTCTCGTAAACTAAGTAAACTAAGAAACAGAGCTCACGAACACAAAAACTAACAAGAAAATACTTTTGTTATGGATTTTCCAAACATTGTCGTTTTCCTCCTGATAGCAACGTTGTCAGAATCAAGGTAATGACTGGTTATATATCTTTTACTCTCTACTTTCAAATTTTGTTGTTAAGAAGATTCCTAACACTACTAGTTTTTAGATATTGGTGGTGGATCTTTTTACTCGCCGATCTTTAAGTCTGTTATTCACTATAAATACTTTTTTAAGGCATACACCTACAAGGACACCCCTAACCTTATTGTTTGCTTCTTTATCAAAATTAACTATGCAAATAATCTTTTCCTAAATTATCTTCTATGTGCATCATTGTCGGGTTGAATATTGCATTATCAAGATTATTGCACTTTTCTGTATTGCATTTTTTTGTACATAATTGTTTTGGCAAATATTCTAACACGATTTTAAATGACCAATAACTCATAATATATTCCAGACAGCCGTCTATGTTTTGCAACGTTATTTCTTTTCATTCAAGAGAAATAACAGCTAGATAAACAATTAGTCGTATAAGTTCAATGATACATATTTCTTACTTATTTCTATTTTGCAGTGTATCAATTGAAATCCTTTAGTTCAAATCAATTATTTCAATACCTAATAATAAAATTATATGATTTTTATACTAATGTGCATGCCAGCATGGCCAATTGTTCATTTCTTCTTAAAGTTGAAATTATATAATTCATTGTTCTAGTCGTAGATGTACTCACAATTAATTTTGTAGACAATGACGAATATAATTATATAAAGTACATTATAAATTATAGTTTGCATTGTTAGTCAGTAAATATGTATATTTATGTTTTATTTATTTTTATTATATATTAACTTTAAACAAATATGATCTTACTAGACCATAAAACAAATCTTATGGCTGATACTGCGCCCTTTGATTCAAGACCACCTTTATTAATCCAAAGACATTTAAAAATGTCAAAGTGTGATCTAACCTTTGAAGTAATTATTATGTTCATCAAATGCTATGAGGAACAATTAAAAGTTTAAAATTTCATTGAAATATTAAAGTTTTTTGAAATATGAACAGTTTAGTCCCGTACCCGTAATTCAAAACTTCCCGTACCAAATATAAATTTTTTTAAAAAAGATATTTTTCTTTATTTTGGAATATTTTGGAAATTTTGAACTATTTTTCAAAGTAATCGCGCTGCTTTAGCAGCATAGAGGTGGAATATCGAAGCGCGTAAGCGCCGCGTCGCCCTCTAACGGACAAACGATGTTACGGAACCTATAAAAATGTAAACAAAATTTATACGTATTATTGAAACTTCCATAAAATATCTGATAATTTGATGTGCATGCATATGTCTAATGATTATTTTTGACCATTAAATGGCATTTTTTTACATTTTTTTATTGGATCTCCGAAACCGCTAGACCCGCTTTCCCAAAAATTTAATCAGTTCATCTTGTCTATACATGTAAAATGTTTTCTGAATTATTGAAATCACACGCTCCGTTCTCTTAAAAACTGAGTTACGGTTTTTGGCACTTTTTGTCCCGTATCTTCGAAACAGCTAGACCTGCCTTTGCCAAAAACTAATCAGCACGTCTCCTTATTAATAGGAATGGAATCGTTTTTTGAAGTATTCAAATCGGTTGTATCCACACACACATACACATACATCCATTTTTTCTAAGGTTTTTATGCGATTACTATATTACTATAATTAATTTTTTCTTTTCATAGTTTTTCATTTAAGATATAATTATAGCAATAGCAATGAGTATTTTAAAAAATTCAGATACGAAATGGAAACTATTAAAGTAAGTATGTACTTCTACACATATTTTATTGAACTCTTAGATTTCTGTATAGTATATAAAAATATTTTTCAGAAAGTATTCCGTATAATTAAAAAATGAGCTTATTTATTGTTAATAGAAGTAAATTTTTAATGTTTAAGTAGTCTTTGCATTTTCAAAAAAAAAAATTATCGAAAGTGCAGTCCAAGTTGCACAAAAAGTTTCATTTGCACATTCTTTATTAGTTTCTCCGAAGTAATTTTGAAGAGTAGATTTAACGTTATTTACTATTAATAAAATTACAAGTTTGAAAATTTCTTGAAACCAATTCAATTTTCTTTATAAATGTTTTTTATGTAGAGTCGTTAAGAAAATATTCCAACTTGAAAAAGCATCCAACACGATGAAATAGAGATCTAAATATGCGTCTCCAAAACATTTTACATGAAATTTAGAATGTTTTTACACAAACACCGTTTTTCATACGAATATTTTATTTTTTTATAGTGAAAATAGAAATTGGACCCTTTTCTGGCCCTTTGTGTTAACAGATGATTAGACTTAATTGTTACTGAAAGTTTTGGTTGCCAGACTTTAAAAATGAAATGGTCATTAAAAACTTAAAATATTATATCTAATAATATCATACAATGATTTATGAATGAATGATATAGTATTCTATATAAATT